AAAACACGCTTCCGAGGGGCGTGCGATCAAACCCGCCCCTCCTGTGAGGGGCGGGTTGGTGGGATTGCACGCCCCTTTTGGAGGGGCGTGGGCGTGGGCGTGCGGGGAGGGGGGAGGAGTGCGATTATCATCGCCCGTCCCAGGCAGCAAGCTTTATGGGAACTGTTGTATGTTTTTTCATCCATTATCTGGACTGAATCTCTGATGATAACTATGGTGTGGCAAATATACCAGACCTAAAGAAGGGCGGTATGTTTTGAACTGCTATGGAGCATTTTCTTGCACGGTGGCCGGCCTTCAGAGTCCCGTTTGCCATTCTCTGGATCAAACATGAACGTCTTTCATGGCACCATCAGAAACTACAGCAAGCAAGCCAACAGCAAGTGCCCAGAATACTTGGGAATTTAAGCATAAAGTAATGGTATTTTAAATATCTCGATCGGAATCGGATGAAATGTGATGCATTGGCTGGGTCACTGAAACATGCACGCCGCAATGGATCCGTGCTGACATGAAAGCTGGGAGACAACGGATGACGATGTTGGGGATGGGGGGAAAGGAATGGATTATTCCTGGGTGGAAGTCGGAAAGCAACAGATGGTGATCTTTGGGGATCGATGGAGATATGTAAGATCATTTGTGGCATGCTAATTCGGACTGCCACAAAATTGCTCTCACACGGTACTCCAGGCCGACAAACCAAGAGGGACAGAAAGAAGGTTTTGATATACTCAGTCACTGAGGTTCTGGATTCTGAACATCCAATTCATAACGGGAGAGACAATTTTAGACTCTTGTGTAAGTCCCCTCAGCTTCTCAATCCTGATCGACCATCGTTGATAAATCTGAATTTTTCATCCACTTCACCATCGAGTGCCTTAGGATTCATGGAAATGGATTCAGATAAGCAGGACCCCTCGGATTTGAACGAGTTAGAAAATCAAGCCAAGGTGGACCGAGGACATCGAACCGGTCGATCTTCGGCTGTTAGTCGTGTGCAGGCGGTCTGCGGCGCTATGTTTTTTTGTTTATAAATCATTTTGGATTTCTGTCATTACTTACGCGGAAGCCTTCTCCCGGGAGGGACATAAATATTTACTTGCTGATTGGACTGATCGAGTTGTTTCGGTTCGCCATAGGAACCAATCATCGATCATTCGATTCCTAAACCTCAAAAAGAGATCGTTATTGGAGAGAAACCAAGCTCAGACTCAGAGGCACTCGTCGTCGAGAATGACAGCACTTCCACAAGATCCCAGAAAGATGGTACAATGAAAGGAAAGCAAGTTCAGTGGTGGCCTTCACTATTCAAATAGAATAAGGGAGACAATGCCAGTTCCTACAAACGAATAATCGTCCATTTATGTTAGCTTGTTCACATAAGAGCTGCGCTTATCCTTTTATAAAATGTGATCAATAGCCTGATCAAATTGTACGCTTTCTTCCAACCCAGTTTTGGTGATTGTCTTATTGGGATGGTGGATATCAGGGCTCGTGATAAAGAGGACAAGACACAAATGGGTGATAACGACCTTTTGGACTTGGCTGTTCTTACTAATAAGTTGAGTCTTTTTCATTTCTGATGATTGGTTGGAAGTAATATGAATTACTTACAAACCAGTCTCTCAGTTTTTTTCCGATGGGTACCGACACAATATGTGGCCAAACCGATTGGAAAGACTTACATGGCCTTGATTGGAAAGCCCATCATGAAGTCTACAAATCAAAGGGTCCGACTATTGGGTGGATGGTTGGTCTTGCTCGGGTTGTGGTTGGCCAGCACCTTTGGAATCAAGTTGGGGCCAGGAAACAATTATACAGATCGAGCGAGATCGTTAGTTGGCGTGATGATCTTCCAGCTCGGCTTTTGGTTTGTCTGGCTCTCTCTCTCTCATTTTCTACATCTTACTGATTGTTTCAAAGCAACGATGCCTCTCATCCATGATCAACCCACACCTTTGTTTTGCTTTGTCAACCATAGGGCCTCATCTAAAAATAAGAGTCTGATTTGCTGGAGAACTGTGATAGTTGGATTGATTCTGCAGCAGCTTTTAGCTTTGGCGGTACTGAAATCTAAGGCCGGGTAATTGGATAGCTTTCCATCAGTAATCAAGGAATAAAAGAAAAAAAAGGGAATGCAAGCAAAAACAAACTGATACATCTGCAGCTCACAGTCAGTAATTCATCCTTTGTTTCATTCATTCATAGGTATGATTTCTTTCATTGGATTGCAACAGCAGCAACGGATATCTTAGACCAGGGTACGAAAGTGGGCGGGTTTTTCTTTTCCCCACAAGTGGTCGACAACCATTGGTTTTGTACGTTCTCAAACATTGGTTTTCGGTTCAGAAAGAGAAAAATATAAAATATAAACTTGACGTGAGCTTTGTTACTTTCTAATCTACTTATCCATTTCTTTTGCATCGATTGCAGTTGTCAACACCTTAGCTGCGATAATCTTCTTCATAGCACTTGTTCAACTTCTTTGTAAGTCCAAATTGATCTCAAGACAACCCCAAAGTTGTCTTATGTTCGTTGGGTTATTTTAACTTTTCTTTTCATGTTTGTCAATAGATTATTTTGGAATCATGCAAGCTGTTATGGTGAAATTTGCCTGGGTGTTTTATACCTTGATGGGTGTCAGTGGTGTTGAAGCTTTAGCTGCAGCCGCCTCGCCGTTTGTTGGTCAGGTAAGACGTTCGCACTAATTAAAATAGTGTTCAGCGACTGCCTAATCTTTTGCTTTTCGAATTTTGTCTTCGTAATCAATCAACAGGGGGAAAGTGTTATCCTGATCCGGGTTTGTCCATTCAAATGAATCGACAATTCATCTTGAGCTAATCAGACCGGCATCTTCGAACTGATTTGACGATGAATTGATAAACTGATTTGACGATGAATTGATATGATTGTCTAGCCTTTTGCAGCACAAATGACTGCCGCTGAGATTCATCAGGTGATGACTTCAGGATTTTCGACGATAGCTGGATCTGTCTTGAAGGCGTATGTGGCCTTGGGGATCCCAGCGGTTTATCTGATTAGCGGTAAGAGTTTCTAGAGATCAGGAGCTCGCATTGCAATTTAAAATGATACTTTCTGCAGCATCGATCATGAGTATACCAGCTTCCTTGGCAATCAGTAAGCTGAGATTCCCGGAAGACAGTCAGCCTCTCACTGCCGGCAAAGTTACCATTCCCGAAGACGAGCAAACCAATCGCAAAGGCAGTAATGCAATGATGACATTTTCGGATGGCGCTTGGCTTGGATTCAAAGTGGCCGGAATGATTTAAATATCGATTCGGTTTTCTGATAGACTACACATAAGATAATTTTAATGGCTTGTGATTGATTGGTAGACTTGCCAACCTTCTAACGATTCTTGCACTATCATATACCGTTGATGGCTTATTAACGTGGATTGGGCAATTTT